CATACATTGGTATCTGTGGCGCTGCCAAGACTAATGACGGCTCTGAAGTTCGATCTGGGCTTTTCATTGAATTCGTAAGGTACCGATTGAGAGTGGACGGGGTAATCGGTTGATTTGGAGGCAACGAAGTCTCACTTGTGGAGTCGGTGATGAGTTTTTGGAGAATGCAGTCAGGCAAGTGAACATTACTGGTTGGATTCACCACATCCCGATCACGTTTCAACAGACGTTCGCCCAGAAAAGCCTCTTCTGAAGACTGCCTCAACGGTCCTACTGCTTGATCTTCACGCACGCTAATTGACTGGGCTTGTTCGGCTTGCTGATCGTCAGCCAGTCTTCGAACCTTTTCATAGGAATTTGGAATACTTTCGTAGACTGGCTGACTAATGATTTGCTTCTCACGAGCACGCCGTTCCTGATTAATCGGTTTAGGGAAAAACTCAACTGATTCGATGGGGGTTGGAGCTCGCTCCATTGATTGCATATTTATGATGCCAGCAGACTGAGTAGTTATCATTCCAAATTTTGGAGTTGAATCTGACTCCGAAGTGATACGCCCTCTGTTGTATTCGTGGGGTTGTTCGCCTTCAGCGACAACAGAAGTCCATGAATTCACTTGTACCTTGGATCTGGGGAGCCCAATGATGTTAATATGCTTAGTAATATGAATTCCAGTCTGGTTAAGAGGATTTACCTGTTCATGCGAAGAGACTCCCCGAGCAGAAGAGTTGGTCTGATTATGAACACCAGTTTTGCATGCGCCATGACCAACCTCGTTTGACTGCGGGAAGATCATTTGCAGTGCATGGTCTAATGTCTGGTGCGTGGTCATATCTATTTGAAAAATAAATGTTTGTTATATATCCTGTTGGACGATTCTCATGAAGAGAAGTGGTGTCATACTTAATGAGGAGCATTGAGATCCTCGGTCATGAAGATGCATAAGATCACATAACGAAAATTGTGACTCAGTGCAAGTCAATCCGGAAGGGGCACGCAAGGTTGCCGCTCATGATCGATACCTGTTTAAACAATCGTCACGAGATTCACGTGATACACGCCGAGACGCGCATAAAACATGACAACATAAGACATCATAAGGAATGGGGAAAAAATTAGAAATATTTATATTTCCAATATCTAAACCAAATCAGCTTTTGGTCTAAAAA